AAAAAGTCTTGTACTTTCTCACATTCCCATAGTGTGTGAATTATTGTCTCTATTTCAGTCTTACATTGAAAACAAAGAGCACTATCGGTAAGAGCTGCTTTAACTAGATAAGAGTTTGTTGTTAAAATGTGTTGATTTATTCTGTATTGAAGCCATTGTAATTTTGAATTTCTAGTTACTGTAAATGGAAGCATATATATCAATTTCCATGTGTCATCATCAAATTCAAACAATTCATTCCATTTGTTTTTCCCAGTGGATATGGTACTATTTTGGCACAACAACTTATAAAAATCTTGAGTTCCTTTTTTTTGCCTCATAAATATTTCTAAATTTAAGGGTATGTATGGATAACTAATCAAAGTATTTAAAGTATCATCATTGGACATGTAGTTTTTTATAGTATTAATAATACCTTGATATGTGAGAAAGTTAGTTTTTACATCAAATTTTTATTATTATGTAGTCTTAAAACTCTTCATTATTAAAAATTACTGGAACCTCTTTGGACTACGTGAAAAGGCAAACATGAACTATGGTCAGAGTACTCTGGTTTTAAACTTTATAGAGTCAGCTGATAACACATAATTGTGTTTGAAGTTTTTTGTCGAATTATGAATATTGTGCTATAAATAGAATCTTACATGAGTGTCAATGGAACATTGATTTATTGAACAGGCTTATTATGATGACATAACAACAGGGTATATTTGTGAAATAAATAACGCTTGAATTGGCACTTCTTTTGAAGAATGGCGAAACTTTCGTTAAGTACGAATAAGATAAATGAACTCGTAATTGGGTCCTGCGTGCGTTGTATAAGAATGCACCGTTAAGTTCTAACGTTGTATAGGCGCTTGATGTTCACACACAAGGGAGGTAATCTTGTTACGTCAAATTCTAAGTGTGATATATATTACTGTATTACATAGACATGTGTAGCAAAGGAAGGTCATTTCGTTGTGTCCAATGTTAAATGCGATATCTTAATATTTTATATACATAATTGGAGACAATCTGACAGCGCCATAGAGATAATCTGGTGTGTAACATTTAATTACAGTCATACAACTAAGGGACGTAATTTAGCTGTTGGTGTGATAATTCAATACATTACTGATGCAATTATCAAAACAAAAGGGAGGTAATCTAATATGTCGGATTGTCATTTTTTACGTTGACAACCTTTTTAACACTCAGCAGGGGGAGGTAATCTTATAGTGTCTTCTTGCAAATACAATTTCTGTCCAGATGTTGTCCAATCCATTTGTTATCTAAACTATAAAATTTGTTGAAATGAAATTCAATCTCTATATCAATTATGTCATCACACATACCAAGGGGAGTAATCTGATAGGTGGAAAATAATCACAAAAAACAAAGGGAAATAATCTTTTGGTAAAGGGAGATCATTTGAAATGTTTCATTATCAATGTAATGTTTTTGACGTTATTACACAGAACAAAGGGAGATTTATCAAGTTGTGTCATACTTCACTACAAAGCTTTGTGTTGACGACGTTATTACAAGCGAAACAAAGGGAGATTTATCAAGTTGTGTCATATTTTACTGTCAAGATTTGCGTGACGACGTTATTACACACATAATAAAGGGAGATAATCTGGAAATGTTTTATTGTCTATGTTATGTTTTTGAAGGAATGACAAAGGAAAAAGGGAGGTAATCAATTTGTCATACTTCACCACAAAGCTTTGTGTTAACTACGATATTACAAGCGAAACAAAGGGAGATCATCTGGTACATTAATCAATGTTATATCCACTTTAGTGAAGTTTTCATATATATAGCAAAGGGAGATAATTTGGTTGCGTCATATTAAAAATGCCATGATAATATATTCGTGACTCTTTCACAAGTGGCAAAGGGAGATAATCTAGTAGAGTATAATTGCCAGTGTCATGTTTGTGACGAACACGCCGAGACAAAATGATCGGCCCAACTTATATTACTGCCAATTTGACGTCTTAATAGGGTTAATAACTTGATATTATGCTGTCTCTGAAAATAAGAGCTTTTCAAATGTTCCCTAATTATAAATACAAGTGTCTCATAATTAGAATAAATCACAGGCCCGCTGATAAAACATTCTGATAAAACTTAACAGATTCGTTGATTAAAGCCAAAGAACTCAAGAGATTAAAAAATGTCTTAACTTTTAAATCAATATCGAATTGAAATAATTTCATTTAGGCTTTATATGTAAATCGTATTTGCGATACTGTATTGTAAAGATATAGAGGATCTCAATCAAATTGTTATGAAACAAACTTTAGCAAATTTCATAAAAATCATACACAGTATAGTGTTTGTTACTTTGCAGTAAGTTGATCAATAACGGACTTTTTGTTGCGGCGAATACGTGGTTATATGAACCTGATCTAGGGATATTGACCGAAATGAAGTCGAGGTCAATATCCCTTTTTCATATTGATCTAACCACGTATTCACCGAAATAAAAGTCCTTCATTGTTACCGGCTATATGAGATGATAAATAATGTTCAAATCGTTGAGAAAACAAGACAAAACGTAGGAAAATTGTCAAGAGGAAAAATACTGTACAGTGCAGAGAGCAGTGTGACATTACAATTAAAATGGCGTTATAGAGTGAAAATAAATGTGTGTAAACACATATACACAATATACTTAACTAAGGCATGTTAGCGATATGTTATGTATTATAATATATGTATTGCCAGTTAATACAAGTAAGAGACTCCCTTAGCAATCTGTTGCGGTCAGACCCCGTCCTACCTTATAGACATACATGACGCGCCTCTCTACCTTTATGATATACATAATGTTTTGTGTGTAGCCTAGCCCTGGAGCAGAGTAGTTTGCTGGTTTAATAAAGCTCTGTATTAACTCTTTTAATACATACACCGGAAATTAGACGTCGATTTTTGCATGGTTACGTCATCTGAAAAGGGAACATCTGTCGCGATGATTGAACTAGGTGGAATCAATCGGGGACCTTGCGCCATGTTGTAAGCACATGGATTTTCAGTATGAAATAAAGATCCTGTCTCTGAATTCATTAACTTTATGTCCTGACTAAACTGTAGGTGTTATTTTTACAACGTAACATAAACACAATTTGTGATAGTGCATCTGAACACAGGGACCTGCGAATTTGTAACAGCTTTATTTGGACCTAAACAATAAAGGTGTACCGAGTATTTTCACACGTTTTCAGGGTTTAGTTAATTTTTGGGGATGGCATACATATCGAAAGTTGACGTATACCCCTAAAACGTATAAAATTACTCCGAACACCTCAGTTTAGATCCAAATATACCTGTAACAAATTAACAAGTCTCTGTGCATTTTATCGACCTTATCATAAATATTCAAGCACAAATGATGGCGTCCGTTTTTCACCCAGTAGGAGCAAACATAAAATCAGAAATCAAATGACACATTCTGTGCTGACCTTTAAAACTACAGCTACATGCTTTCGATCATACCTGTTTTAAAATGAGTTCGTGCTGATTCTCTACAGTATCATATATATTTTAGAACGATATAAAACATTATGGCAATTTTTTTTTTCCAGTAGCAGAGAAATTCTAACCTGTCTATAAATATCTACAGCGAAGCAACATTGTGAAATGTATTGAAAATAATATATTTATATAACGCAGGTACAAAGTCGGTAAATTGGAAATATTCTCTCCAAATAAGTTGACTTGGGGCATACCTATTTGCTCATATCCCAGAAACAAACTTTATAAAGAAAGAAATGTTTATTTATAGTCATTTTGATATGAGTTTGTCATTTAGTAAACCCATGATACGTGTTAGAATAATGAAATAGAAAAAGCTACACGCTTACTTTGGATCCATAATAAGAAGGTGCATTTAGTCTATATCTATTTTCATGGTGTTTATCTATGTGTATATATATATATATATATAAATGTATATTAAGTATAGAAGATTAGGCAAGGTGAAATCCAAGAACCCTTGATTTGAAGGTAGATCTACCCTGTTCTACACAAACTACATGTTTTAAGCTTACAGCCGTCGGTTTGAAAGTGCAAGCGTCTGGTTGGCCAAACCTGGTCATGTGTCATGCGAGAAATATTCTGATGTCGTAATAACGACTTACTGTGTCGTATTAACGAGACATATATGTCGTTATTACGAGGTAGTAAGTCGTTATTTCGACATCATGTTTTTTCCTCGGTGGTTCGTACCGGCTTCCGTAGCATGGGTAGACAAAATACCAGTTAACCAATTTGCAACCAATCATACCTAAGCGAACACTGGCTCTTGATATATTCCAAACGTTAACTGCATTCGGAACGTTTCTATCTCCGACGTTTTCCAACATTGCCGCTAAACATCCCAGTGATATATTTGGACTTTAAAAGCCAATAATAACAAAAGGACATGTATAAAGTTTCCATCATTTTATATAACAAACATATAATATAACTATCGTCTAATATCGTAACAAAATTAATATCAACAGTAATTGCAACAGTAAGGAACTTAATAAATAACAATTTAAGTAAAGTATTGATTTTGATGTCACAAACTTGAGCATGAACAGTTACACGCTCCACGTCTGTGTATAAATAATGGATGGATATGAGTGGATTAATGAAAATGTCGTTGAATGTGAATTTTCACTATAGTACACAAGTAATACTAATAATATCACTAATGATATTGGCAGTGGTTTTAGTATGAGATCATTTTTTCCTGACCCAGTTTTTGACCCCTATTCATAACGAGGCTCTGCTATCGTCTATAATGACGTCAGCAATATTTATCTCTCGACACTGCATGGCACGTCAACAGTATTACTCTCTGTGACTTCCGTGTGACGGTAACTATGGCAATATATGTCTTGGTACTAGGTAGCGATGCTGGCAGTTTGTGTTCTCTGTAACCTCTTGGTGACAGTAACTTTGGTGATTTCCTTGAACATACGCTTTAGGCTCCGTGACGTCAGCAGTAGATGCTCCCCGTAACCTGGTGGCGGTAACTATGACAACCATCGTGTGAGACAGTCCCTCTGCAATTTAATGACAATGAATTAAAATGCGATTTTTTTTACGTTAGTAGACGAATTTAAAATAATTTACAAAATAATCATGATGTAACAACACGTATTAAGATGGCAGTTTTGGGGTATTTTAATAATTAAAAAATAAATACCGACGGTACCTTAACGATACCCCAACGTGTAAACATATCTAGCCTCGTTTCGAAAAACAAATTTGACATGGCTTCCAGTCACTTGGGCACTAATATAAAACTTTGCGACAATTCTGAGCTTTGGGAAAATTGGTCTATGTGTGGGCGATTTAATCATTTCTCGTTAGAGTAATATATATTGATAAATGGAAACCGCTCCTGTGTAATGAATAGCGAATATTTCGTGTCGACTAGGACTGTTTCCTCCAGGTAAGATTACGTGTCGACTAGGACTGTTTCCTCCAGTTAAGATTACGTGTCGACTAGGACTGTTTCCTCCAGGTAAGATTACGTGCCGACTAGGACTGTTTCCTCCAGGTAAGATTTCGTGTCGACTAGGACTGTTTCCTCCAGGTAAGATCACGCAGTTGTATATTGTATATAACTTTTTCTAGATTATTTACTTGTTTCACAACTGCTATCTCGAATGGAAACGAGATTTAAGTTCGTTTTATCACCCGCATCAAAACAAGAGTTTGACGTTTGTATTTGCTATTATTGTATGACGCCATCTGATTGCATAAACGTTGTACTTCTATATAGATTGTATGTAACGGTATCATTATGCTCAAATAGAATTAGTTTCACATTCATATGTTAATTAAGACACAATATATTCAATTAAAGCAACTTCATTAGAAGTCACGATTCCGTTTAATAGAAACTAAATAACTCATGAAATGTTTAACACGTATACACAATTTACTCATTAAACAGCCCCTATCCTAAAATATGATCCGATATATTTTCTAGGAATTGCCATAATATTACACATTCCCGCTGAGTGTTCCTACATGAATATTAACTTCTTAACCCCTGAAGACACAATTTAACTCTTCTATTTCAAAGGTTGGAATAGTTCATCATGTAATTTCAGGGTTAAATGAGGTAATACTACCACATCAAATAAGGTTGATTAAGACTATGGTCGAAATATTGCGTCTATGTCATTTTAAAGCTTCTCTTCTCACCGCAAATATCATGAGACCATCGTTAGAAATAAACATTAAGGTGATGTGAGGCTATTTCAGGAATGTCGGTTGCATCGATCAAGCACGTAAATAGTATGGAATAGTTACCACTATTTGACGTTAATACTATTATTATCCTACCAAATTTAGATGGCATTCATAAAGGCTGTAAATGCCATATCAACACGGTTCAATGTTTATATTTAGATCACTAATAATTCGAAAAAGATAATGTAAAGACATATGAAATAAACGGCGGCTTTTAACATCCTTGCAGGTATGAACGCAAATCATAAATTCATATTAAAACATCAAACCCTAACGGGCTTCATTCAATATGGATATAACAGATTGGCTATCAGGCCGTCAGTAATGCCAAGACCTCCACTGAATCCCTATTTCAAAGGTGAAGAAAATGGAAATGACGTCAAAACAAGAGAGAGCTATGTCAAAACAAATGAAATTACGTCACAAACAGTAAATCGTTATGATATTGTTTTATGCCCATTGTACCTTAGAGCCCCTTTAAATGTGTGCGATTGCCTAATGGAAATATATGGATTGACTCTTAGTAAGTTCATAAATAGAGTTAGTCTCGAACTGGTTCAAACAATCAATGCAACATGGTTGTTACGGGATTGAAAATAATCACATCAGATAAAAACAAATAGAAAGCTCATAATTTCACATTTGGCTTCCTGAATTTCAATTTAATAAGCCGATACTTCATGTTTCTTAAAATCTTCCAAACAAAATATCTTCATTCATATCCATCCTCATTGCACTAAGGCAAACATTATTAATGTTATTTTTTCATTAAAATGAAGTGTGTTATTGAAGAAAATTTGATTTTTCCACACTGCAGTGAAAAAAACTCCATTTCATGAATAATGCCAGATGTTTCATAGGTAAAATGTACATGTAATGAAAATGAAAATCTGCCAACTTCTGATTTAGATACATGTACTTTCTGTTATTATTATGGTCAAATAAATATTGAACACCTAGACAAGTAAACAGTATTCTTGGCCTGTATAGGAACATGCTCAATAATTCCACTGGCAAATCGAACATAACTGAACTTATTGCAATTTTTCGCTGCTCATTGTCGTTATTCACGTCCTAATTGTCTCTGTCCCTACCTCGACAACCTTGACCCCTATTCAGCAGCACGTGACGCCAATGTGTCCTTGGTGTGCCTCTGAAGTGACGTCCGACCTTGAGATGACCTAAGGTTGTCAATTTTGTCCTTGATGGTTCCTCAAGAAATGTGTTACCTTCCCTGTCTGTAGTTATCTTCGAGCTAGACATTTTCTCTGTAAATTAAAACCGGAAGTCGATATTACTATCTCAAATACATAAAGATGTATTATCGTCAACAATAACTATCACCATGGCAACCGTTCTGGGAAGAGGTTTTATCCACAAAAGTGTGAGTTTGTCATAAATGTATAATAAACCCAGAAAATGATGTCGAGAACGACGAACATGCATTAGCCACTTCCAGAAATCTGCGGTGTTTGTAATAAATGCCACTTTGAGCAAATTTGTCCTTGCAATGAATATTGAATTATGCCTTCATTTGATAAGTAGGTGATATACAGTATCATAATAAGTAGGTTATGATCATAACCTATAGAACGCGGGGACAGCGCCATAAAAGATCTTGCAGTCTATTGGGACCCGACACGAGTACAATACCGAGCAGCGCAGTCAAAGGCCGTGCTGCCAATTGGACCCAAACACGAATATCGGAAGTGTTTGGCAGGTAGTTGAATGATGCGATGAAAACAATGGCGCGTGATCTACTGCCATGCCATATACATCGATATGAAACCATTACTGTTAAATGTCACCTGATACTTCTATTAATCATGTATTAAAATATTCAGAGCCGGGCAATAACTTCTTTGTTTGGGTCCTACTGAATTACCTCGAAGCTGACAGTTCGGTATCCACACAATCGTAATCCGGCGGAAAGGTGACGTCTTCGTCGTCGTTGTCATTGGTCAGGTTATCGACACCAGGGGGCGCTGACTACTTCATTATACGTCATAGGAAGGATTTGATGACGCTATATGATTTTTGTTTGTTAAACAATGGAACTAATTTGGTGGTTTTTACCATACTTTCACTATGTTCAAATATTATGTAAATTTGTCGTTTTTTTTCTATGTCTTAATATCCCTCTGCGGTGTCATTTACTTTGGCATCACACGACCTGAAATAACAAAAAGTAATGAATATTCATTAGTGTCGACGCAAGTCTCGGGGGGTATAGAGAGTTTGGGAACTGCTGTTAATTCATATCTTTTTCTTCCTACGTTGCAAGACGTCGTTAATTTTAAACTTTTTGTCTGATGTTTTAACATGAATAATTATGATTAGAAATTAAGTAACGATACCAGATATCTCGTAATTGCATGATCGATTAGCGTTCGTTACCATATCTGCACATCAATTTTCATTTTGTTCACTATTTGAAGGACATTTGATGAAATAAGGAGGACTACAAATTTATCAAATGCGACCAGAAAGCATCGTAGTTACCTCATTTACAACGCTCCCTTGTTGTACTTAATTAAAAATGATTGACTTTGCTTTACAACTCTCTCTATACATTTAACAATATTGACGTGCAGTCTAACGATTCGTCTCTCCGTTCTCGAGTAAGCGGCCTGCTATAAACTTTGATAAAGTAGATTTATTCGAGTATCTTTATTACCTGTTATATCGAGAGTTGTAATCGGAGCTTGATTAAATTACAAAACGTTTGACCGTCTTTAGCGCTACGTTTAATTTTCTCCAGAACAGTGGATTAATTATTACCATTTTTTTTTGACATTTCCCCTTACGCGTAGAATTCTATTAAAATTATTTGCATCATGAATTCGAATCATGGATATAAAAGCATGTGATATTTATCAGTTATGGACTTTTGTTGAGGTTAATATGAGGTTGTATGAACCCCAAAAATATATACTGACCGATACCAAAAAAACAGAGGTCAATATAACTGGTTCATATAACCACATGCATGTTAATAATTATTTCTATTATATATGAAATAATGCTGTTTTATCAATCACTAAAGCGTTATGACGTTACAATTTAAGTGACGTCATCAACAGAGGATCTTACAAGGTTGTGCATGTCATATTTAATTTATTAAACGAGTTCGATAAATTCAATATGACAATATTTAAACAGAAGGCCTTCACACGTTGGAAATGCATGTGTCATGCTAGCCTCACATTCACAGTAGTGATGCTGGGGACACCGAAACAAAACGGTAAACATCATGAACAGCTGTCAACAAAGCCAAGACCTCGATCACGGTACATAAAGTAACCATTACAATGTTTCGTTTATACATTATTCAGCTTTGTTAGAAGTTGCAGCTTTAGTTCTAAAGAAGGTAAACAAATCTACCGATAATCAGGAAACAAAGGTACCTACAGCGCCAGCTGATGCTTCTGTAAACGTTCGGTACCATATGAAGCCGTCGTTGAGCCGACAGGTACCAATGAGATCAAAGCTGCGTTTCAATGGTCCTGCCGCACTGCTGACGTATTGGAAGCCGAGCTTTGACGGAACCAATATTTGCCCATCCATTACCCGGACTCAGACAATCTAATACCGATCGTTTTATCGACCAGACGATACAAATCTCGGCGGCATCAAAATATCAAGGATAAGGTTTCGATATGCCACCGCGATGAATGATTAAAACAAAACTTAAAACGACATTATTAAACTTGTAATATGTGCTTTACCGATTTTAGAAGACCGGACATTCCCCTGTAGGTTAGCTTGTCGGGAGATTGAATGGTAGGCTAGCACCGATGTATTGTTTGAACGTGTATAATACATTATATATGGTGCTATAACACATCAGAAAATAACATTTCAATACGGAGTCTAAAACCGTTTTTTTTTTATTTTCATTTTATTTTTTAAAGGAAACATTAGTTAGTATTTCCCTTTGAAACTCGCCTCTCAAATTGCGTGTCGCGCAAGCCACCGGGCGTTAATGACACTTTGTATCATATATCTTCTGCTAATGTCCCCGACGTCATTTTTCTTTATTCGCAGACGTCTATATGAAAACAGCTGGGCTAACTTTGACCAAGACATTAATACCGCACGTTATTAGCGCGAGGAAAGGTTCCGTGGTCCCTATTCAGTTGTACGACAGTTTTATCACGTAAATATTACATGCCTTGATTTCCTCCTTCTTCACATTGCATTTGTTTTCCATATAAAGAGTAGATTCAGTGTTTATTTTAATAGCTCATTATAAATCTTAAAATGAAGCGAGGCTGTTCATTTTATCACTCTTGGTAAATCAAAATAGATGACGAATGTTTGTGTATTGTAGGTTGTGTGGGTAGGTTGTCGACTCGCCGGCTTACTAAATCATAATATAAATATTACCCATTAAACCCTATGAGTAAGTTCCGTACTTCGGGCCCCTATCCCTGTTGAAAGTGACAAGGTTTCGTTTTGTTTTCGTCCCATACCGTATATACACAGCTTGTAGGAAATCAACATGATACTCGAGCTGCAACGATATGCATACCTCACGATACGAGACGATACATATCGCGGAATGATACTTACAATACGATACGTATCACGATACACGTAACTGTTTAAATGGTCAAGTTTGTAATGTTTTTGTTTAAGTTAGTTTTACGCCCCATTAACAGCCAAGGTAATTTAAGGAAAAACCTCCATACGTGTCGTGTATGCTTGAGTGCAAAACTTTACAGAGTTTTGTCGTAGACTTAAAAGTATGATTTTCAGTACTTTTTTGGTATGATTGCACAGTGGACCACATCTTTACTGAAGGATTCCAAACGATAAATAAACTTTTAGAGTTAATGAAAGAAAAAGATTGATATTTTCAGAACCCTTAGTTTATCATGGTACAGGCGAACAAAATATTTAGAATTGCTACACAAAACGTATCACGATCCGATACGGCATTCAACAGCTCTACTGGCCACACATTAAGATTTATTTCTAAACTTTATAAAAATAATTGAATATTTTAATAATATTTGTTTTTATAGAACTTTAAATTAAAATTTTACATATCTTAAACACATTTTCAACACATTAGTACACCGTAACGTCTGCGTTCGCTCTCTAGAAACGTTCTGGCAAGTATAAATGTCAAAACAAATTACGTCAGCGTAATACCAAGGAATAAGATTGAATCTAAGTCTGTGATAATATCAGTACATGTTAATCAGGAGTATTAACAATAATACAATAATATTAATCCGACGTATCAACCACTGGAAGGGTCGTTTTGGGGGATTTGTAAGTAAATGTAGATATATAGTACTTGTTGACTTAAAAAGGAGGGTTCAAAGGCCATTACACTTAAACTTTGTTAGACAGATTTTCCTTTTTTTCAAAAACAGAGGTCCAGATTAAGACTTTACGGCAAAGCGCAAATTATCTTACATGAAACTTTAATCGGATGTTGTGATCAACATAAAAGGTTAAACCGGAACTTGTGTTATAAAAAGTTAGGTGTTTTACGTAATGTGATAACTACAATAAGTGCTATATGAAAGGTTACGAATAGCCAGTTTTGATAAATAAAAGGTTAAACCGGAAGTCTAACATATGTAATGTTAACTGTTACTGTATATGGAAGGTTACAGGAAGTTAGATATGTTATATAAAGGTTTAACGGAAAGTTGAAATATACAAGTATATATAGCAATCTAATTAAAACCAGATCCGAATTCCTGTTCCTCAACGATACTCTCGGATCTGATTTTAATTAGATTGGTATATATACAAGTTTTAACTGGATGCAGTGTTATTAGGAAAGGTTAAAACCGGAAGAAGTGTTATATAAAGGTTGTGTACCTCCGCCGTCTGTTCGAAGCTCGACTGGTCGGGGTAAAGGGTGATGAAGGTCTGTGGGATATGGGAGGGGTAGGAAGGCTGGGAGGGGCGTGTCTGGCGGATGATCCCTCCCATACCGTCTACGTGCGCTTCTTGCTCACTCCAATCCCAAATAGCTACTGAGTCTGATATTATTTCCGGCTGTGTGCGGCTTGGAGACTTCTGAAAGGACAAAACATGATATTGTAGTATCATCATTTACCTTATGAAATGAACTATCGTTTAAAATAAGCCCAGTTGGTCAATATTAGCTCAAGTTATTTTCTAAATTGGCCATGTTTGTCGAACAAACAATTTAAAAATAAACATATTGCATTTCTTTTTTATACTTCTCGATTTCTCATGCTGTGGAGTTGGAATGATGTTTTTATTCTAAAGGCACAAAAGCATTGCAGTTTTCGCTGTCGTTCAAGCACCGATAGACAATGTATAGAAGGACCAATGACCGTTTTTTATTCTACGCTCATCAAAGATGTCGGCTGCTGAGACGAAAAAGTATTGATTTTGTTCTTATCTTAATTCTTTACCAAAAGGAATACATTACAAATGTATCATCTCTGTGCGACATAGACTAAGAATTAAAGGAACAGGACCTAAATACCTAAACAGCTTTATTGTCGTTGAAATCATTAAAAACACACTTCTAATGACGACACTAACTACAAAATAGGATGGCCGTGTTTTCATAACATGACGTGTGTTTTAAGGGTGCTTTAGAATTGACAAACCATAAGATCTCAGTGCGCGTGCTTCAGGCCAGCGCACGTAATTTGCAGTGCATGGATGTTTATAAATGAGTGAATGTGTTGATTGAACAGCTCCGGTATAAAATTCGACATAACTGTTCTATCTAGGATAGTTGCTTCTATTCATGCGGTCAATAATGAATCTCAAGGGTTTAAATCTTCGGCTTCGGTGAGTTGCATATTTCTCTGGTTGACAAAACATTATATCCACCGCATGACAAATCAATATGTGTCTACTTTCCACATAACATCGATCTCTAACTATTACTGATTCATATACATGTACTTTATAAGAGGATATTACCGATAATTTAAACCAAAATATCAATGTCAAATTTTAAGGACTTGATAGTGAAAAGGAGCATCGATCTGTTAGCGGTTTTATGTAGGTACATAAATTTCATGGTGTCTGTCACCCGGCGTACCTTGCTTGTTGTGGTGCTTTAGAGGCCGGCCAACATTTCTCGTTAGAAGCATCAACACCTGTAGCTAGCTACCGAGTTTATTCCATAAGAAGGAGAATCTAGATACTAGAACAAAGACGAAGATTCGGGAAACAGGTCGCATTAGACAAATAATCACTTTACTACCATTAATGAAGCTACAATGGCGAAAACTAATTTTCAGTGAAAACCTGCACGTCTGTGTTTTTGTCGAAAAGTGGAGCCAGCGCGGTAACAGTAAATGCACAATTAGGGAACGAGGTTTGGCAAATTACCAACAATTCCGGTATAATTACCCACAATTCTATTGGATTACAAGGCCAAGTCATACATTGATCCACAATAAGCATTTTCTTAATCCAATTACTCATTGGCTGTAATTTTGTACGAAAGTGTAAGAGTTCGTCGTGTTCTTGTGAGTCAGAACGCGGGAAACAGGAAACGTTCCTTTTGTTGCCTTGTTTACGTTATAATTTCATGGGCACAGGAAGTTTAAAATATTTCATTTTAGAAGGTTGGTGCCATAAGACTATACAGAATTATGAAACATCTTTGTTATGGAACTATTGATCAAATCAGTATGAAAGAACGTCATGAATTATGTCGTTTATTTGGAAAGTACGCACTTAGTCTTTAATTGTTAAAAGTGAAGTATCTTTCTTCAAGCTTTCAAAGAAATTTAAACGAGTTTTTACCTAATGAAAGGATCGATATGGTTTCCCGAAAATTAAACCGTTTATTTTTTTCGAAACATTTCTAGGTAAACCCAGTTTATAATTGTTCCCATAAATATTATCTTCCTGACTCTCAAACAAAGTAAGTAATTCAATAATTACCGCAATTTGTCTAAAGGTAAGCTTCTGTTACGGCAAAAATCATTATCTTTAATTTTGTTCCCGCTTGATGGATCTAACGTGTTTTCAAAAGACTATTCACGTCTTTTAAAACCTACAAATGGAAAGCCATATTTATATATACTATATACCTGGATTTTTTCCAGATTTTTTCTCACGACCACGGGATCTATCTGATGTGACGGTCTGGTATAAACGGTGTCATTTCAAGTCAAACGTTTGACTTTTAGTTCTGATAATTATTCTGTTTTCGTGTATTCGTCCACTTATGGCGGATTTGTCGCTCATTGAGTCTGACAACACAGCCACTTATCGGTGGCAGTCAAGCCTTTTGTGGCACGTCTTATCTTAATAACGCCACACAAAAACTAATTCCATGCCGACTTAGGACTCCTTAAGACTTCTCTCCTGTCTAATGCACGCCGAGTACTTCAATGAATGAGATCGATAAAAACCGAGATAAGTTAAGAATTCATTTTAGAATTGTTCAGTTTATCGATATAAGAAATGGTCAGTTTTATCATTCGATTGGTCAAAACTTCTGGACCGTATATACCGGACCGACACCGCTGTTTTGAACTGTGGAATATTTCGATATATCTTAAATGTTCACCGGATACACCTACCCTGACAGCCTATACTAATAAATATGTATGTGAATATTGATACCGGGCCAAAATGACTTGGTGTAAAAGAATTAAGGTGTGATGGTAACACGAGAGGATCTAGATTTATCGACAATACCCGAGATACACGGTCGACCAATCACGAGCCACTTTCTCTTTGAAGGGAACCTAATTAGCATAAATCTACCCTAATATCAAAACCGCGACGAAAAGAAATATGAAATTGATATCGACACAAAAGCGTAGACTTTTGGAAAGGCATTTTAAAACCAGGTATAGTCTTTTCATATTTGGAATTGTGATATTTCTTTCAATTTGATGATTAATTTCAAAACCATTTTGAACACCTTTGCCAAATATGACTAAGAAAAAAATAATGTACCATTTTATAAACACATGATTTTCTAAAAACATATTTGTACTCAACTTTATGCTATGAACATTTTAATGAGTTTTGTAGAAAGAACTGCACCCAACCTATATGAAATTCAATCTCGCTCGAACGGTATTATACTATACATCGCCCTAGTCTCTGAACTCGTATATTATAGAGAGAAGCCATGCTTATACATCCCCAATAATACCTGCCTTCAATGAATCCGGATTTGAATGGTTTTTGTTTAATAAATGATTATGGCGGTTCTCGGGGGAACCTTTATGATGGGTTGTACTCTATCTGATTTAAAGCCGCAATTTCGTATGCACACGCGTCAATTAATATCTGCGCCGTTACATAACAGCAAGTGTACATGTTCTATACAAATTCCTCTGTATTCGTGTATAATACATCGGCAGCCACAAATACGGAGTCAATAACGTTTACATTTTAAGTTTCATGTATTGACTTGGTCGAAAGAAAACCCCGTAAAGACGTAATCACCTGCGGAGGAGAATAACATGTATAATCTCTCTGTTTGCGGCACATGTCTCATCAGGGATGTGTAGTCAACTACACATCCCTGGTCTAATATATCAAGTTTGTGGGAATCGGTAATATAAAATATAATCTTGTTTCAATTGTGTATGTCTCCATTTTTATTTATCATGGATATTTTCGTGTAGATTTTTATTGGAATTTAAATGAATTGTGTGAAAATCAGGGGTAAATAGAGTATCTAGCATAAATATTATTTAGAAAAGCTAAGAAGGGATGTTTACATTCGGGATACAACTTAAACCTGTTTATACCGAGCACCAATGTATAGAGCACTGTGTGTATAGTCCACCTCTATATAACAAACACCTGTGTATAAAGATCACCTCTAAATAAAAAAAAACTGTGTATAAAGATCACATCTATATAACAAACACATGTTTATAAAGATCACATCTATATAACAAACACCTGTGTATAAAGATCACATCTATATCACACACACCTGTGTATAAAGATCACATCTATATCATACACACCTGTGTATAAAGATCACCTCTATATAACAAACACCTGTGTATAACGATCACATCTATATCACAAACACATGTGTATAAAGATCACATCTATATAACAAACACCTGTGTATAAAGATCACATCTATATCAAACACACCTGTGTATAAAGATCACATCTATATAACAAACACCTGTGTATAAAGATCACATTTACATCACACACACCTGTGTATAAAGATCACATCTATATAACAAACAACTGTGTATAAAGATCACATCTATATCACAAACACATGTGTATAAAGATCACATCTATATCACACACACCTGTGTATAAAGATCACATATATACGAAAAACACCTGTGTATAAAGATCACATCTATATAACAAACACCTGTGTATAAAGATCACATCTATATAACAAACAACTGTGTATAATGATCACATCTATATAACAAACAACTGTGTATAAAGATCACATCTATATAACAAACACATGTGTATAAAGATTATATCTATATTACAAACACCTGTGTATAAAGATCTCATCTATATTACAAACACCTGCCAATAAAGGTCAACTCGAAATAAGAAACACCTGTCTATAAAGCGCACCTAAATGTGTAACAAACATCTGTCTATAAAGATCACCTCTATATAAAAAAAACTGTGTATAAAGGTCATATCTATATCACACAATGTCATTAAAAGTCAACTCGGAACATATAAAACTGTCTATAAAGATCACCTCTATATAACAAACACCTGTCTATAAAAGTTTTCTTTGTATAAGAAAACACCTTTCTGTAAAGGTTATCTCTAAATAGGAAACATCTGTCAACATAGGTTACCTCCATATAACAAACACCTGTCCATAACGTTTACTTCTATATCACAAATATCTGCTTGCAAAGGTCACATATGTATAACAAACCTGTTTATAACGGTCAACTCTATATAACAAACAACTGTCAATAAAGGCCACATCGTCCTATAAAAAAAACCTCCGCATAGCGAAAAGCGTCATACACACGAGACATTGATGACACGAAAACATATCTACAATACTCAGTATCGTAATGGGCATCTGTCTACGATGACCATGGTTCATGTGAGGCCATATGAAATATTTGGTGTTTCCGGTAACCCTTCCTTCCCTACTCTGAACTTTTAAAGGCAATTTTCAAAGATTAAAGTCAATATCACTCTCCTGTATAAACCATATTTTTTTTTTGTTAAAATAAACTTGTTTACCCTGAATTATTCCTACATGTTACAGGAAACACATATATTTGTTTGTATTGTCTGACCATTCTAAAATAAAGTGACTAGTCAACATAGAAGCTTACTTCTCGTCAGGTGATAGCGGCGCGTGCGTATATATGGATATATCCTGACAACGTTTGACCTGACCATTTATCTGGTCAATTTACCTGTCCATAGGTGTATGTGTCCGCGGTCCTATCATTACTTATAATTCCGGCCAATAAGGCCTAAACACTGACCATTATCTGACCATTAGTGGGATCGTATCTACAAGATGGTCACTAATGAGTAATGACCCTTCAATATTTTCTGTCTATACATCTGTAGGGGCAAGGGGGGATGGTTCAAACAGGGGACAAATGTCACAGAGAAAACTGACGATCGGGGGGAGTTTGTAGAGATACAACCCAATAGTAAGAACGATGACAGTTTTGTGCTTTTGCAAGGTCAAAGAACAGTAAATTATCACAAAATCACAAATATGGATCAGTTTACTAAAAGGAGAATTCAGGTGTTTTAAACTACTCAGCCCTCTGCAACCTCGGAAGTAATATTATTATACGGATACCTGCATTTTTTTCTCATTTTAAAGCATAATATTCTGTTTGTTTTATATGTTACATAAAAATCTAATTTCGAAATGAGCCCGATGAACATCAATTATTCAATCATGTTATGAGCTTCAGCACCTAGCATATATGTCGTAGAAACACGCATTCTCCAATTTGTTGAACAAACACATTGACTTTACATATACCAGGTCATGTCACATTAATATTATAATTGCATAGTATTTACGGTCCGACTGCATTTATCGTTATTTTATGGCAAAGCAGAAATAAATAATATTAATATATAATCATGTCATGCAGGTTCGTTCCGGATAATAACGGTACCGGCAACCTATTTTATATTTAGTTTTTTTTTATCGTCCCTCAGCATCAGTACCTGGACGTATCACACGATTGAAAAGGCGAGTACGCATGCGCATGGTCCAGATCAATTTAACACCAATTACAGACATCACACTTGATTACATCTGTTGTTATTTACCGTCTCAAAACACAAAACCTACAAAGGTAGCCATTGTTTCGGATCTAGCTGGATTTATCGATCACGTCAGAGAAACAGGAAGGAACACAATGTTTTGCTGGCTACGGGCTCTGTATTATTTTAGTACATCGTAAAACACTCGACCATGATATCAAAATGTTTGAAACCAGTCACTCACAACAAATGGGATCGAACTAACGAATGAATTCGAAATTTTGTCCTTTTTTTTTAGTTTCTATTGTTTTAAGTAGTTCAAAATTGAATGAGTTTATTTTTATTTTTTTAACATTGTTGTCAACCATTTAACAGATTCGATCTCTAAACTGCTGACAAGTTGCTTGAATTTTCACTGACAACTATAATGGAGTCGGAATACGTAGAAATGAAATCTATGTTTCCATATCAGATTTAAATTGGACATAAATATTTTCAAAAACAATTATCTCTTGACATTTTTGATTTCTATCAATCCAACCTACTTAAATTTAATTAAGGTAAACCCTTGAAATCTTCTTAAACTAATTTCCCAACATTGTTGAGGACTGACAATATGGCATTAATTAGGCCCAATTAAGGTAATTGGCGTGAAATAAACAGATATTTCTTTTTAAGAAAAGTGCACAAAAAATTTAAGTCTCTCGGAGGCTGTTCAAATTAACACAAAACATAGGTACACAAATTTCGTAGCGCAGCACTGTAAGGACTGACATGTTTGACTCTATATATGGTTTCGGGAATCAATTAGGCATAATTGGTTTCCTGGAATTAAATGAGTTCAGGAGATACAGGAGGACAGCTCTCAAGTTGTGACATCCAGTTTTGCTAGTAAAATGAGATTATTCTAATTAAAAGGATAAACATTTCACGTAATATCGCCTTAACTAAACCAGTCTGTCTCTTTACGAACTAATTTGAAATTGAATACAAAAAAATTGGACGTCACATTGAGCTTTAATCCCACGCAGAGGCAATCTGCGTTAAATTAGTGACAATACGGAAACAATTTAATTGTTTGTGACAAGAAATAAAAAGTGCATCCTCCACTTCAAAAGTAATGATTTTCTATTAGTTTTTTTCTTGAAACTGTATGACAGAAGCATACTCTATTTGCTGTGTTTACGAATAACATGATTTAAACAGCTACTGAGAGAGGGAGAGTTTGCAAAAAAGTTAACGTACTGGCTGTTTTATGTCTTATATAAGCAAAACAGAACTATTTGTAGTGACCAGTTAAGACTCCCGCGAGAATATGTCGACCGTCATACTTACCAAGCTGATTTCACACAATATTTAAATTTATGCAAGCGACTTTGTGGACAAAAGAGACCTGAGGTATACTTTTGTCACTTTGCTATTTTTACTTGATTTACGTCAACAAAATGTCATAATGTTGGAATCAATACGAAAATCCCAATTCACATAACATTTCTAATTGACTAATTTTCTCTAGATAAGTGATAAATCTTACCGTTTTCTTAATTCGCTCCAGTGTAGCAAGTGCCCTTGGCGAGTTGTCTGTTCTTGGCAAGGTGTCAGTATTCCGCGGGAGGGTGTCAGTCAGAGACTTGTGAATGGTCTCCCTTGTATAAATCCCATTAACCTTGATATCCGGATTATTTTGTTCCGGTACCGTGTCTATTGTTGAGTTAGTAGACACACTCTCCGGGTACTTAGAATCCCGCTGTCGATCTTTCCTTCTGATCAGACAGATCGCAAGAATAATAAGAATGGATAGAACAATTGTCACACATGAAATAGCGATGGCAATGGCGAAGTACTTAATCTTAGCCGACGGGTCTTCTCCCGGATTTCTGCTGGAATCCGTAATAATGACGGTCAAGGTGCGAAACCGGGACCTCGGGGGCTTAGCGCCATCTTGGACTAAGATTGACAAGTCGTATGTGCCAATATCAGAATGACTTACTTGACGAGACAGCGATAGTTGCCCGGTAAATTTGTTCACCGAAAATAGTCTAGTCATATTACTGTTCTCAGCGAAGTAGGAAAGTTTTGCATTGACGTCATCGTCGTTGTCGTAGGCCTTAATGGTCGCGATGATTGTGTTGGGGAGGGTATCAGAAGATACATATAACAGGTCCCCACTGATGCTGGGAAATGTAATGATGGGCGCATTATCATTGATGTCTTGTATGATGACCGTGACGTCAGCGGTACTGGTCAAGGGCGATGACCCGTGGTCGTAAGCAATGACCGTAAAGTTATACTTAGCGATTAACTCTCTGTCCAGTGTCCGAGTCCCCAGAATAGTACCATTTCTTAACACGTCGAAAGGTAAATAAATGTCAGTATTTGACGTGAGTGAGAATGACACTTCACCATTGTTTCCCGCGTCGCTGTCATGGGCAGTGAGTTTACCCACCGAAACATTCGGTACCTGATTTTCCGGTATGACGAACTCGAATGAAGTCGGGGTAAATTTTGGGGAGTTGTCGTTCCTGTCAATAACGTTTACCTCCACCAGGGCGCTTCCGGTCAGAGATGGCGACCCACCGTCCTCAGCAAACACTCCAAATGTTATACGCGGAGTTGCTTCCCTGTCTAAAGAAATGATTGCCGTTATTACACCGCTATTTTTGTTTATTCTAAAGAAGGTTTTGTATTCTTCGGGCAGAGTTAGAGAATAATTGTAACTACTTGGCACAATGCTATCACTGTCTGTTGCCTGTACCTGTAGTATCCCACTGTTCGGTGCATCGTTCTCCGGTACATTCACGTAATATATCGCCTTGGTAAACTGAGGCGGGTTGTCGTTTATGTCAAGGACTCGAACCAAGATCCGAGAACTTGTATTAAGTCTTGGTGTACCGTAATCTCGACATTCAACAACAACAGTATGCCATTCGGTCATCTCCCTATCCAAAATTTGGTCCAGAACGAAGTTGTACTCATACGGGCTATCAACAACCAATCGGAAGTTATTGTCATTTATTGAGCAGGTGACCACACCGTTTTGTCCACTGTCCGGGTCCTTGACCGATATGATGGCTAAAACGGTGCCGATGGCTGCGGACTCGGATACCTCTGCATAGTAACTCTGTGAAAGGACGTTGACCGTTATCTCAGGCGCGTTGTTATGCGTGTCTTGGACACTGACATAGACTTGCGCCTGTGAGATTAGCGGCTGTGAGGCGTTATCAGAAGCTTCCACAATAATTCTATAGGAAGTACTTCTCTCATCAATGAGCGAGCTGATAACGCTTAACTCCCCTGTTGTCAAGCCGACTTTGAAGAGTCTTCTGATCTCGTCCGATTGATGGGAACTAAGCCGGTATAATACCCGACCGTTTTCATTTTCGTCCGGATCCGTCGCATTGAATGTTAAAATGACATTATTTGGCACGATGTCTTCCGGTATGGTCCGATTGTAAACGGCCTTCGGAAACTTTGGCGGGTTGTCGTTAACGTCAGTGATTGTTATATGAAGAGTAACAGTACCTGTTTTTGGTTCCGTTCCTCCGTCAGTTGCTGCAATAGTCACGGTGTATTTGCTTCGTGTTTCTCTGTCAAGTTCTTGGTCCACAACTAGCCTGAGTAATGCCCTTCCGCCTGCAAAGTCCGTTGTCTCCAAGGTAAACGGAACATTGGCGGTCTCTATTTTATAACCCTGGACGGCGTTCTGTCCACTGTCCTCATCTGTAGCACCTTCCAACGGAAAGGACTTTCCTTGTCCGGAATTTTCCGATATCTCCATGGTAATCTGACTTTCCGGAAACGTAGGTTCATTATCATTAATATCAATTAGCCTCACGTGAACTTTTATTTTCTCGAAAAAATCATTGATCGGGGAAATGGCGGTTACCTCCAAATTGAGGATACAGTCTGAAGAGGTAAATTGGCAGAGGTCGTCCCGGTCAAGGACGGAGGCAGTATAAAGAGAGGATGTTCTTTCGTTTATATGGAAAAGTAGGGCGTCTCGGTTACCTTGGGTGAGGAGGCTGTACCGTAACTCAATTTTTGACCCGTTACCTGTAATTAATTGAGCGTCCGAGGCCACATTTCCTAGGTACAAATCCTGACCTTGCTCCTCTGCGATGTTGTAGACAATCTCATAACATGACGTCACAGTTAGGACCAGCATCAGCACCAGGGGAGTTATACAGTCCATTTCGGATTATTTGGTCAACTTTACGGTTTTCCGATCATGTCCATAACTCACTAACCGCTGACCAGTGGTCACTCACAACATTGTTTACCAACTACACCACAAAATAATTTACAAATTCACACCCTCTGTGCCTGGCGGTATAATCCTCCTAGTGTAAATCCAAAAGTTAGCTCATTGAAATACACATTAGCTTTAACTCGTCACAGGTGAGTACTTCAACTACTAGCAGAATGTGTTTTGTTTTTCGACGTATTACAGTATAGAACACCAGTGCTGTTTGAACGTCATTTCACCATTCCAGCGGTTCACCTCCTGTATGAGACTGTGCTGTTCAGTTTTAATTGTCCTTACTTCACATCTTTCCGTAATGGTAGGCCTATCTGTATGTGTCCCCTTACTCCAGTACAAACACACACAACGTATTTACCTTACGATCAATGCCAGGTTGTAAGCCGCGCCTACTCTTACTGTATGAACCAATCAGTGCGGTCGTTGTATCGGCTACTCTACCGGTGTATCGCTAGAAAGCAAAGTCTAGTAAACTGTCAATGTAAATAGAGAAAGGGTCGACGATCTTTTTATAAATTATAAGGCTGTGGCCCATTACAGGTAATTTAAGTACATAATTCGCTCATATCTCCGTTCCCTACCAGCTGCCCATACATACAGTCCATGTACCTAACCCACCATTACGTGGGCTAGCGCAGCAAATACAGGCGGACTAGCCTCCATTCTTTGTTAATATCTGCCTTTCATTTTCATCTCACGAGAGTGGATAGTTCTGTTGACATAAGGCCGAACTACCGGTAACAGCCTTTTTACTGTTGTTAAAATTGTATTTGATGGTCTTTTGTTTGGGCCTCTTTCCCTAAAATATCTCGCTTGATATTAAGTGGGATTTTTTTTGTCCATTGTGTTAGTTTGTTTTTGATATGAAAATCATATTTTAGATTTTATTTTGCATAAAAGCCTGCAAGGTCTTATTGACGTGAGTTGAGTAGATGAGTGACACTCATGAGGCACTGTTTATTCAGGGTTTACCTACTCAAAATACAGCTCGTTTGAGTAAATAATGGCAGGTCATACACTGCTCATTTTATTAAGAGTACCACAAGGTCACATCAGTCTAAATCGGAACCTCACTAGTCCGGACCGTATACATATACAGATAACTCTGTGTAGAAAATACTCTATATAGCGAATTAAACTATATGCTTATTTTAAATTAAATGATAACATCAGTATTAATTCAAAACCGGGAATGACACCTGCTGCATGTCAATAACAGCTTAACCTGTTTAGTGATGTTCTAGGGAACAGTTAATACCGGAGGGCGGGCGTAAAACAATCGGATTTGAACGATAAACCCACGTCTTTTGTTTCCGTATTAAATCCGTCTTCTTCAAAATAATCAAAAAAGCTGTTTGCGCAAATTGATTATTTTTTTCACAGAAAACTCATAAAAAATGCATAAAGATGCTGTAAAATCTGAATGGTAATTTTTATAGTGAAAAATTACGTACATACGTTTGCTATTTAAACTAGTTTAGGTAGTGTAGGGAGGGGTTCATTGGGATCCTTGTTAGTGCAAACATTATTTTCACTCGGCACTTAACATCGCTATTCCGACAGTTTTACATGTCTCACTTACGATGTACATGTAGAACCTTGTTAGTCCGGACACTTTTATATCGGTAAAATGACGACGGAACCTCTCTAGTAAGGACAATTCAATTTTCTCTTTATTAATAATACACTTTCATTTCGGTTTACTTAAGGTGGTACCTTGCTATTCCGGACACTTTTATATCGGTTCACTTACAGTTTAACCTCACTAGTCCGGACACTTTTTTTCGGTTCACTTACGGTTGAACCTCACTATCCCGGACAGTTTTATATCGGTTCACTTACGGTTGAACTTCACTAGTCCGGACAGTTTTATATCGGTTCACTTACGGTTGAACTTCACTAGTTCGGACAGTTTTTTATCGGTTCACTTACGGTTGAACCTCACAAGTTCGGACAGTTTTATATCGGTTCACTTACGGTTGAACCTCACTAGACTGGACACTTTTTATCGGTTCACTTACGGTTGAAACTCACTATCCCGGACATTTCTTTATCGGTTCACTTACGGTTGAACCTCACCAGACTGGACACTTTTTATCGGTTCACTTATCATTGAACCTCACTTGTCCGGACACTTTTTATCGGTTCACCTATGATTGAACCTCACTTGTCCGGACACTTTTTATCGGTTCAATTACGGTTGAACCTCACTAGACTGGACACTTTTTATCGGTTCACTTACGTTTGAACCTCACTAACCCGGACACTTTTATATCGGTTCTCTTACGGTTGAACTTCACTAGTTCGGACAGTTTTTTATCGGTTCACTTACGGTTGAACCTCACAAGTGGGGACAGTTTTATATCGGTTCACTTACGGTTGAACCTCACTAACTCGGACACTTTGATATCGCTTCACTTACGGTTGAACTTCACTAGACTAGACACTCTTATATCAGTTCAATTACGGTTGAACCTCACTAGTCCGGACAGTTTTTTATCGGTTCACTTACGGTTGAACCTCACTAACCCGGACACTTTTATATCGGTTCACTTACGGTTGAACTTCACTAGTTCGGACAGTTTTTTATCGGTTCACTTACGGTTGAACTTCAATAGTTCGGACAGTTTTTTATCGGTTCACTTACGGTTGAACCTCATTATTCCGGACACTTTTATATCGGTTCACTTACGGTTGAACCTCACTATCCCGGACAGTTTTATATCGGTTCACTTACGGTTGAACCTCATTATTCCGGAAACTTTTATATCGGTTCACTTACGGTTGAACTTCACTAGTCCGGACAAGTCCGGACAGTTTTTTATCGGTTCACTTACGGTTGAACCTCACTAACCCGGACACTTTGATATCGCTTCACTTACGGTTGAACTTCACTAGCCTAGACACTCTTATATCAGTTCAATTACGGTTGAACTTCACTAGTCCGGACAGTTTTTTATCGGTTCACTTACGGTTGAACCTCATTGTTCCGGAAACTTTTATATCGGTTCACTTATGGTTGAACTTCACTAGTCCGGACAGTTTTTTATCGGTGCACTTACGGTTGAACCTCACTAGTCCGGACACTTTTTATCGGTTCACTTACGGTTGAAACTCACTATCCCGGACATTTCTTTATCGGTTCACTTACGGTTGAACCTCACTAGCCCGGACAGTTTTTCATCGGTTCACTTACGGTTGAACCTCACAAGTTCGGACAGGTTTATATCGGTTCACTTACGGTTGAACCTCACTAGTCCGGACACTTTTTATCGATTCACTTACGGTTGAACCTCACCAGACTGGACACTTTTTATCGGTTCACTTACGGTTGAAACTCACTATCCCGGACATTTCTTTATCGGTTCACTTACGGTTGAACCTCACTATCCCGGACAGGTTTATATCGGTTCACTTACGGTTGAACCTCACTATCCCGGACAGGTTTATATCGGTTCACTTACGGTTGAACTTTACTAGTCCGGAAACTTTTTTATATTGGTTCACTTACGGTTGAACTTCACTAACCCGGAACGTTTTATATCGGTTCACTTACGGTTGAACCTCACTAACCCGGACACTTTGATATCGCTTCACTTACGGTTAAACTTCACTAGCCTAGACACTCTTATATCAGTTCAATTACGGTTGAACTTCACTAGTCCGGACAGTTTTTTATCGGTGCACTTACGGTTGAACCTCACTAGTCCGGACAGTTTTATATCGGTTCACTTACGGTTGAACCTCACTAGTCCGGAAACTTTTATATCGGTTCACTTACGGTTGAACTTCACTAGTCCGGACATATTTATATTGGTTTACTTAAGGTTGAACTTCACTAGTCCGGACCTGTTTATATTGGTTCACTAACGGTTGAACCTCACTAGTCCGGATATATTTATATCATTCACTTACGGTTCAACTTCACAAGTCTGGACACTTTTATATCGGTTCACTTATGGTTGAACTTCACTAGTCCGGATACTTATATTTTTAGCAACGGACTATGATAAAAAAAAAATGCATTATTAGACAAATGTGGAGTTGTCATGTGTGAGGAAATATATTTTCCGGATTATCGGGTTTAACGAATTCCAATTCAGAACTTTTACTGGTGACATCAATTTGCTGTCAATATGCCCTCCCTCGGTTCACACGTGATCAGAACAATAACTGAAAATTCTACTGATATTTTCTCAATAATTTCAAAACACATTTGTTGTGAGTTGTGACGTCATAAGATTGATGTGACGAGTTGGTATCTCGTTTTCACTCCGTTATCTTTAATGTCAATATATCACTATACGAAATTCTGGGCGAGAGTAAACAGCTCGGCGTATCTTCAATTATAACGCATCCTCGCCAGGTCATCAATTTTTAAAATGTCTCAGCAGCTATTTTTAAAAGAAATAAAGGATGTTTTCTGACACCTTGTCAAGTCTATCCATTACGTCACATATATTCACACTATCTCGTGCATTAAAATTCAAATAAAGGGCCTTATTTTGACTGTCAATTATCTTCCCTCGATTATTTTCGAATAAAATCTTTTTCAATTTTATCGTTATTTATTTCTCCCCAGTTTATTTTCATATAACAAAATCACGTTTCTCCTATCTCAGACATTTTCGTAAACTTTTATTTTCAAATAAAATTCTTTCTTGACGTCGTTCGGCAGGTGTTACATTTCTTCAGCCTTCTCCTGTTTCTCCTCTCCCTCCTTTCCTTCTATCTATTACTTCTGTGTGCGGTCTAGGTAAAACATATCTCCTGTTTACCTCGTTTAATATGTGATTAAATATCATGTTACCGATAATGATTCATTAGTTTTATTGCTTTTACTTTCTGTCGCGTTTTTGTTGTGATGTTTTTTCATCAATCACAGTGAATCACAAACGGCAGTCCCGCACAGGTACACACGGGGTCCAGGTGAGCGGTTAGGTCTTAATGACATTTCATTGTACGGCCCTGTCACCGGCCCCTGTTAACATCCAAACCGGTGTGTTTAGACATGGACCCAAATGTAGGCCGAACTTAACTGGTTCGAGGCCAACAAAAACAGCTCAAAGCTAATTTCTGCCCGAATTCGTTTTAACTATCATTCCACAATTTAACGGCTGCCGATTAAAGCATCCAAATATTATTTTGTCTCGTTCTAAACAGATGTTGTCTTATTACAAAGAGATGCTAATGAGTCGTGATATTGAGATTCTTAGTCGTTATAACGAGATACTCAGACGTTATAACGTGATATTTAGTCGATATAACGAGATACTAAATCGTTATCAAGATATTCTTCATCGTATAACGAGATAGTAAGTCGTTATTACAAGATGACGATAATTTATCGCGC